TTATACTTCTGCGCTGCGTTGGTCTGCCCCGTATCCCTTGGCCCACGATGTGCACACAGTTTTAGACGGTACTTGCTGAACAGGACCGGACTGACTAACTGGGACTGCTGACTGGGCTAGGTGGACTACCACCACTTGACCACTTGCCTCTGCTGAACGCAGGCCAACTCCGAAAGGCCACTTCTAGAAGTCTCGAACTTGGCCTTTCGGTACTGTAGCAGCTACGACTTTGCCCTTTCAGGTAAGTAGCAGCTACGACCTTGACTCTTCAGGCATCCTACAGCTACGACTTTGGAACTGTCTAGACTCCTACCCTACAGGTCTACAGTTCGATTCCCTTCTAAGCTGTGACCTACGAAACCCTGCCTACCACTGGCGATCCTACAGGTCGCGGGTTCAAGTCTACGGGTTGACATCAATACTGTACACAGGTAAGATAGGGAACTAGGGATCGAGACCTGGGATCTGCATTCGCTGCTGCGAACTGGTGATTACCGTTTCAACAGACAATTTTGGTTCCACCTTCTTCTCTTTCTTTCCTTCTTTGTTCCATCTTTTCCAGGTTCTCGGCGACGTAACGGTCAAGGGTCATTCGCCCTTGCTTGATGAATTCCTCGACTCTCCTCCCGGTTTCCAGCATCTCAACAGCTGTCTTCGCATTTTCCAGTTCACCTTCTGCAGAGCACAGATTGAACTGTCCATGCACCAGCCGTTCAGCTTCTGGTCCGGCACCGTGTATTTTGCCGAGCAAATGGCGAAGAAGGCCTACTAAAGTCTGCCTTATAGCATCTATCTGACCACGTGTCTTGAGTTCCCCCCCCATCTGCATCGACATATACGGTGAGAGGGATAGGAAAGAAGAGGTATATACCGCGTAAGGATGGAGGCAGGAAGACATTTCCGAAGATAAGTCATATTTCCCAGTGTGTGAATGCCGCACAATAAATAAATTTAAAGACAGAAATAAATTCCACAGCCACACGCAATTCCCGACAGCACGAAAGAATCAAAGGTAGATACGAAGAAACAGATTCTCAATTGATTTCTAATTCTAACTTTACTGTTCGTTCTATGTGTGATGACGTCCTACAGAAAGTGTACAGGTACCGCAGCCACGACCAGTGTGATCAAGACAACAACACACAGGTGAGTATGCACAACAACCAGAGGACAGCCAAACAGGTGAGTAGGTCAGCCAACACAACAGCAATCAATTGTCAGCCTGCCTTCCTCTACGGCTGTACCATCTGGAGAACCAATGCAACCAGACACAAGCACCGGCACGTGACACTACAGCAAATCGTGAAGCCGTGCCGTCTGCCAGCACACAAGTGCAATATCAACACGTCACCCACAGCAACGTGCCATGCATGCCACGTGTCACCCCTGGAATGCCAACACAGCAGCTCTACAGAGTCTGCCATGTCAGCGTCAATGACCTGGAAGGTCTATGAGGGGAATGCCATGTCAGCAATGCATGGTAGGCAAACGCATCCAACACTGGTATGCCATGTCAGATCAAAATATGAAGCGCTTCGTCAGCAAACAATCGCGACACAGGTACGTGCCACGTCAGCGGTCCCAATGTCCACACTCTCTCTTTCTTCACCAGCACCACGTCAGCCTGCTGCCAACGATGCTCTTGCCAGTATCCCAATCGTCTTCAGTGTAACCACGCCATCACCTTCAGGGGAGGCTGCACGCATGTGCGGTACTCAATGTCAAGATATGCGATTACTCGCGGGCGTTTCGTTCCTCCACGTGCGGCACCTCCCACTTACATGGGTGCCACGTCAGCACCTGACAGCAGATCGCGATGAAGGAGGTATGCTCCGATACCAAATTGTAATGAACCCAGACTGGAAGATACTCGTCAGACGTTGAAGTACAAGTTATCTCAGATCTGCACAATGTCTCCAGTAATCGTGAATTCAAAGTGATATCTGATGCAATGTCTCGTTACCCATAGACGAAGAGAGTGGAGGGGGAATAGACAGATGAGAGGGTGGAAGACATAATCAGTGACCACCAAAAGAGTAGCCCAAACATTACCCATTCCTTCTCCGGGCTTCCCGTCGCCTCCACGTCATCAATCAATATCCCGTAACAAGTCTGACAGGTCCTGATCACATAGAAGTGCCACGTGGCACTGTCATCCCGTGGAGACAATGAAGACAAACAGCATTGCACGGTATCGTCGTCAACCTCAGGTGAGTACCACTTCCCCCATCGTCCACAGATCCCGAACTCCCTCCTTGTTGCAACCAATCACTTCATGTAGACAGTGTGGCCAGTGCCACGTCAGCAATAGAGACAGGTGGCTTGCAGCACATCAGGAATGAAGACAGATAGCCTGTGCCACATCAGCAATGTAGACAGGTGGCATGCGCCACATCAGCTATGAAGACAGATGGCCTGCACCACATCAGCAATGAAGACAGATGGCCTGCACCACATCAGCAATGTGGACAGGTGGCATATGCCACATTAGCGATGTAGACAGATGGCATGTGCCACATCAGCAGAGGCTGGCGCTCAGCAGAGAAGGTGACAGCATGCTGCCACAATCCCGCCTCGTCATCCACAGTGTCTGCGCACAGCCAGCGTCAAGCCAGTGTCCAACCAGCGTCAAGCCAGCGTCATGCCAACGTCTAGCCAGCGTCAAGGCAGCATAGCAAGACTGAATGTCGACCTCCTGGAGACCAAGCCTTATGTAGTGTTTGACGAGGCAGTCTGGCCTCAGGTCTCCCACCCACAGTCGTACAGATTGACTCACAGCCGAGGGCCTGGATTGTGTACCGTTGCAGACTTCCCTTTGGTCCTGATGCGGTCTGGGTACCTGCATACAAACATGTGTGTGCGTCTGACCGGCGGGCTGGGCTGGGTCCACTTTGACTTTGACTGTTGGAATTTCCGACAGTTGACTTTTGTTAACTGTCGCCCGCTCAAGCCCTGAATCTACATTGGGCCATTTTCTCCTTTGGCCTGGGTCTGAGTATGGCCTGGCGAGGCCCTTAGACATTCCACGAGTCATACTGGATGGGTTATTGCAACTGGGTCTTCCCAGGAGGTCACCCATCCCAGTACTACTCTGGGTCAACGGCGCTTGGCTTCTGAGTTCGGATGGGATCGGGCACACATGGCACCTGCAAATGGATGACGCTTGTGAATCGAGAAATGATCTAAATTTTCATGACACAGAAAATTCAATTTTGGGTTTGCACATTTAGCCTCGGATGTACTCGTGGTTTAACTAAAGCACGGCGGTTCTCTGACATTGCAGTATTTGGTCCAGAACTCAATCTAGATACAGCGATAATGACAGGGCGTTCTATTCATGGCCAAAACCGACCTTCTTCTGTTCCCTTCTCTCTCTACCTCTGACAGCAGGGAGATATCAGATTCCATTCTAAACAACTACCATTTTAACCCGAATCGAACGCTCGGTTATCGCTGTTACAGTATTTGGTCCAAAACTCAATCAAAATACAGCGATAATGACAGGGGGTTCTATTCAGGTGAGGACGGTAGCGACATTATAAGTCCCTGAGCATAAAAATAAAATTCCATAAATTACGTCCTCTTAGTGAAAAAGGATATGTGGACAGTGGTCAAGATCACTGGCTTTCTTTTTTCAGTGATTTTCCAGCTTCCCACCTTCATTGATTTCATGTGTAGTAACTGTTTTTTTTTTTTTTTTTTTGCTTTTTTTTTTTTTTCGGAGTTCTGGATACGCACACCAGAAAAGTTGCCGAAAACTAATATTACTCTCATGCAAGAGTGCTCTTGCTTTTTTTTTTTTGTTTTGTTTTGTTTTTGGAGCAGCAACAGAGAGTGGATAAGAAAAGAGAAATGAAAATGAATCGAAGTAGATGGGATTCTTTTCTTTCTCTCATGCAAGAGTGCTCTTGCTCGATCGCCTAGAGTTCTCTGTCTGTAAATCACAGTGTAACTTTTTAGGCTCGGCTCTGGTCGTGAATGTGGTCAGATGCATCCAAGTCTGGCCATCATTATGGTAAGATACATTTAGAGCAGCGCTAGTGTGATGGGACCTCAATACACTTGATGGTTTTTGTTATGTTTTTTTTCTTTTTTCTTTTTTCTTTTTTTCCTTTTTCTTTTTCTTTTTCTCTTAGGTTTATGGTGTCTCTATGTGGAATTCATGACAAGTATGGTGTCAAGATGAAAAAGAGGAAAAAAAAAAAAGATGACCACACAGCGTGAGAGTCTTGGACTCTAGCTTCTGAGTGTTAGAATTGAACTCTACTCTATTTTTCAGATCACGTTATGGACTCGCTTGTTCTCTCTGTCTCTCGGTCTCTCTGCGTGTCCACCTCTCTGCCTGGCCGTTGGTCACTCTCTCTCTTGATTCTTCTGCTTGTCTGTATGCCGTCCGTGTATCCGTTCAATCTGTTGCCCGCTTGGTCAGCCAGTCGGTCAGCTTGGTCTGCCTGCTTGGTTGAGCCAGTTGTTCTGGTCAGTTGGTTGGGTCGGTCAGTCCGTTGTGTCGGCTAGTCAATTGTGTCGGTCCGATGAGTCAGTCACGATGAACAGACCCGATTGAACAACCACTCTGTCGCTTGGGTCCATTGGTAAATCAAGTCGTGCTTTTTTGGCCGGGTCCGTTCACAGGACGATCCCTGGACCTTCTCTCTCTCTCTCTCTCTCTCTCTCTCTCTCTCTCTCTCTCTCTCTCTCTCTCTCTCTCTCTCTCTCTCTCTCTCTNCTGCCCTCGAAAGGCTTCGGGCATAGCCCGGTAAAAGAGGTTGACCAACTGGCCCTCTGTGACCCCATGGTCAGGGACGGCCACCAACTCATCCATTGTACCCTTGAGTGCCCTGGCACTCTTCCATTTACGAGAATGGATGGTTTGGAGCTTATCTGAGGCCTTGACACTGCGAGGGACATCAGCAAATCGCTCGCGCAGCAACTTCAGGAATTCGGTGAGGGACGTAAATGAGGAGTACGCAACGGGATCATCACTACAGTTGGCGGCGAACTAGGGACCTTGCAAAACTGGCGGCCTCATCTCTCAGCGCGTGGATAGCAATTAGGACTTGCTGATCTGGGGAGACCTGTTGCAAGTGCACATAGGTCTTAACGTTGGCCTCCCAATTGTCAAAGTTTTCCTCCCTCTTCCCACTGTAGGAATCGGGGAACWTGACTTTGACAGGCTCCCGGCGAGGAGGACGTGCTTCCTCCTCCTTGGGAGCTGCCGCCTTGACGCCTTCAATGGCGCCAGCGCAGAACCGCTCAGTCTTGTCGAGGCGGTGACCCACCTCGGCTCCAACGACGCCTACCAGCTCACGAGCAAAGTCTCGAAAGCCCAACCGTATCGAGCACACAGCTATGTCCTGACTTCTGCTAAAGTCATATTGGTCTGCCTGAACCCGTGCCAGGCATGCGACGCTCCGAGCTATGACTCGCATCTGACTCGCGAGATCGGGCTGGGCGGCTAATTGCGCCTCTATCTTCTTCACTTCCTCTAAGGCCTCTGCCGCCTCCGCTGCCTTGTCAATTCTCCTCTTCTTCTCCCTCATCACCGCTAATTTCCATTCCATCCTCTTCTCGTCTTMMAWCGCTTGACGTTTAAGAGGGTCTTTCTCTGCATCCCAAACCTTCATGGCAGCTTCTTGCTGATCCTGCGGGATATACATACTAACCTCTTCCTCTTCTCCCACAGTCAGGTTRGCAACCCATTCAGATAYCCTCTTCTCCAGKTCTCCACYGGTACTACTACTGGGCTGCCCACTACTCCTTTGCAGTGGCGGACCGTCCTCTTCTTCATCCACCGCCTTCAGTTTCTCTTCTTCTTCCTTCTTTAACSTCTYTTTCTCCCTGGCCATCTCTTYTTCCATCTTCTTCAATTTGGCCGCCTGCTCCTCCTTCAAGGCCTTCTTCTTGGCCTCCTTCTTCTCCTTTCTCTCCTGCAGGATGGCGGCCATCTTCGCCTCCTCCTCCTTTGTGTACGACATAGTGGAGGTGCCGCGTCGGGTGTCTACCATGGTGGTGTCAGGTGCATGACAAAGGTCCCACCCCTCACCACTTGGACCTATCCGGACACAAACCTATTGACTGACTTCCTAAGGACCACAGGGTAAGACCCTGTCAACTATGGTCACTAACCCAAGACTTATTCTAAGGCTGTCACTACTGAACCAAAAGCTGATCTGGAGGCATTTAAGGAGATCCCCCGTAACTCCTCAAGAATTAATGTCGCAGATAGGACGACGTGATCAGCTTGGTTCTTCCTGGCGATTTCAGGCCACGACTCAGCCGTTCCAGCCTACTGTGCCACACCGAGCAGCCCGCCGGTCTGTACCGGTCCTTGGAGGGGTTCGTATCCCTCGGGACAGTCGAGTCGTCAGACACAGATCATCAGCTGTAATAGGTCCAGTAGGGGAGTGGCTCAACCAGGCCTCAACACTTAAAGACGGCCCTCGTTTCCGCCTACAGCCCGGAGTTCAGACCCTCTACACTGAACTCAGTAGACCTGCCGGACAGTACCGGTCATTGGGCTAGACGAGTTGTTTAACGAGCGCTCGCCGCTCATGCCCAGGTCTCCAAGTGCCAGAGTAGAGCTTTGGTCCTACTAAGCCTGTGTAGGTTTGGCAGCAAGGCCCTATCCTTCATCCACAGAGTCCTAGCACCTACGACAGAAGAGACTCAATGCAGAAAGAGTAGACAGACAACTCAGCAAGTACCGTGGGGTAAGTGCACATCTTCAGGGTAAGGGGATAGGGTGAGGGGTCAACGAGATATCACCAACTCCAGCTTGGTCAAAATCTTGGYCAGCAGCCCCGGTCAACGCCTTGGTCAACGCCGAGTCAACGCGGGCAACCCCCAGTCAACACTTGGTCAACACCCTCGGTCAACGCCTGGTCAACCCTTGGTCAACCCTCTGGTCAATGCTCTGGTCAACGCCCGGTCAACCCTTCACCTCGGCTATGGCTGCCGGCACCATCACCCTCGTCACCCTCGCCGTCTACTTCCCCTTCCTCACTTTCTTTCTCCTTCTCTATCTTTTTTTTTTTTTTTTTTTTTTATACACACCCCCGGCTATGTCGGTCTTCCTCTTCGATCTCCTCCTTCCACACTTCTTCTTCTCTCCCCTCAGTCCCTCCTTCTCTGTCCTCCCTTTCTCTCTCCTCCGGTACTCTATGTTACAGCTCCGCGGCTATTGCCGCTATCTTCCTTCTCCACCGGACTCCGCAATCTCGCCTTACAGGTAAGTGACAACCAATCTTGGATCGCTCATCTCTCTCTCTCTCTCTCTTCCGCTGTAGCGGTATCTTCAGCGCAGCAGGT